GTCCTTTAAATGGAGACTTAGGGTTTTGAGCCACTAAAAATGTTCATCCCTGCAGTGCAATTTCTTAATCTCTCCTCATATACAGGAGACCCCAGGAATATCATGGGGAGACAGAGGTCTGCCAAAGGAGGGGAAAACTGGCAAACCCCCCCCCCCCCCCTTTGTGAAAATCATCTGCTGGATCCAATCTAAGCTCTATAGCAGGCATTACTTTTCTTCCTCAGATGGATCTATCTACAGATATGCCTGTCACTTGCAAAGAGGTTGAAAACTGGTTTCAATTTAATATACGCACTGTTCTTTAACTTTCACTCAGACTGAAGCAAGGAAACTTTAAAAAATCAGTTACAAATTCTGTACTCCTTTCCCCATATCAGTGTTCAGCTTCAACATTCCAAAAGCAGAAGCAGCATTTGCAAACAGAACATCTTTGAAGTACTCTCAAGCAAATACTACTACAATCCAAAGAAATAACATTTAAGAACAACTTATGCATTTAAAGAACTACCTAGGCAAACATTTGCCATAGCTATGTTGAATAGATTTTACTGAAATATTTCATAACATCAATTCCATCAGAATAAAAAACAGGGCTTGTTAACAGCAGTCTTCTTGTAAAATTCAACAAACTTTCTTCAGGGTAATAAAAAAGACTGATCTATCTTCCTTTTTTTTTACTCTACACAGACTACTCTAAGTCACTGGTCAACTTTAAAAATTTAAGCCCAGGGAGGAGGAGGAGGAGACTTCACTCAGAGTCCCAGAGCGGCTTACAAGCTCCTTTCCCTTCCCCTCCCCACAACAGACACCCTGTGAGGTAGGTGGGGCTGAGAGAGCTCTTTCAAGAACTGCTCTTTCAAGAGCAGCTCTAACAGAACTATGGCTTGCCCAAGGTTATCCATCAGCTGCAAGTGGAAAAGTGGGGAATCAAACCTGGTTCTCCCAGATTAGAGTCCGCACACTTAACCACAACACTACACTACACCAAAGCAGTACTTAGTTTCGGTTGGCAGAAAAGTGCAGTCAAAGGCAAATTTTAGGCAGGAGCAATCTATAATTTCTTTCCCACATCTGTGTAAAAAAACAAAAACAAACCCCCGATAATACCTAGGATAGCTGGATACAACAGATTAATATACCATAGAGATTAATATACCAATGGACTAGATTAATATACCATAGGGGAATTCAGCCATGTTTGAATGAGCAAGGAAAGATATATTTCATTACTGAATTTATATACTGCTTTTCAAAGTAATGTTCTAAAAAGACAGCAAAACTAAAAAACCCGATAAATACTAGAGGAAGGGGATGATCTGCTGGAGGTGTATCATGGCTTGATGGAGGAGTGCCAGGTCACTGCTACCCCCTCCAATGGCCTCAGTTCTCCAACAGAGGGCCACTGCAACTATCCACTTCTGCCTGCCAAACAACTAAAGGTACAAGAGCCCCACCAGAAAGAGGGGACACTGATTATTAGACCACTAAGGTTTAGCCAATCCTAGAATTCCTTCAGAACGCTATGTAACTGTGGCCTCTCTTAAACACATGCATAAAAGCAAAAAGTCTGAAAATTTGCACACGGCTGAAGATTTCAGGTTCACTAATGTATTTACATTCCTTTCTCTCCAATGGGGGTCCAAAGCACTTTACAACATAGTTCTCCTCTCCTCTATTTTATCCTCACAAAAACAACTCTCTATTTTATATATATAAACAGATGTTATTGGTTTCAAGGAAAGATACTACAAAGAAATGAAATGAAAAGAAATGAGAGACAGAACAGAAAAATTACTAACAGAATGGACACTATACTCTTACATCAGCTTAAGTTACAGTATACTTGCAAACTCTAGGTCTTCTAGGCCGTGTCTGTAAAGTTTTTGATACATTTCATATTTTAAGTTCTCCAAGATAATTTTGCATCCAGTTATAAAATCTCGCTCATTTTCTTTCAAAGTCACTTTCTTGTTTTTCATGTAATTGTAAAGTTAGTTTGTCCATTTCTGCTGCATCCAACAACCGGAAAATTAGTTCTTCCTTTGACGGTGTTTCTTCTTTTTTCCAGTATTTTGCATATAAAATACTAGCTGTTGTTACAATCTGTATAATCATGTATACATCTGTATAATCATGTATTAAGATTTTGTGGAATAATATTTAATAAAAACAATTCTGGTACGAAAGGTACATTTATGTCAAGATTTTTTTGTACCATCTCATGTATCCATATCCAATATTTTTTTACAATATCACAAGTCCACCACATATGGTAAAAAGAGCCAGTTTTTCTATTACATTTCCAACAAACATTTGACATATTTGGGTACCAGTTACCTAAATTTTCAGGAGTCATATGCCATCTATAAAACATTTTATATATTTTTCCTTATAGGACACAGCTTTGGTGAGCTTTATATTGACTTTCCATACCTTTTCCCATTGTTCTAATTGTATGTTATGACCTATATTTTGTGTCCATTTAACCATTGCTTCTTTTACCACCACATCTTGCATTTGGCTTCTAATAGCAGCTTATAAAAAAGTTTTATATGTTTCCCTTTAACACACCACAAAATTTTGTCCATTTCTACAGGTATATCACAGAATCCCATCATTTTATCTTTCACATATCTAGAATCTATTTGGGCTCTTTCCCACCAATTACTGAACAACAAGCAACTTTGACTTGTCTGTTCTTTAGTGAATGTCATTGGATTTGTAAAAGCTTCTAATGGAGAAACCCATTTAATTCTTGGCTTCTTCCCTTCCCATATAAATTTTCTTGTCAGCTTTTCTAGCTCTTTAAATATTTTTGCTCTTTTATAATTGGGATTGTCTGAAACAGGAAGATCAGTCTGGGTAAGATATTCATCTTAACTGTTGCTATCCTTCCCATAAATGATAACTGCATATGCTTCCACCTTTCTAGATCCTTTTTGATTTCCACCAATAACTTCATGTAATTATCTTTATACAGTGAGCTGCATCTGTTGGTTATTATTATATCTAAAAAAAATTTCTGCTTCCATTTCTGAAGCATTTTGTATAACTTGTTCCTGCTCCTTAGTGCAATGTTTTAACAATAGTTTTGTTTTGTTTTTGTTTTTAAGTTTATTTTCAGGCCAGCATACAAACCATAATCTTTTATTACTTGTAGAAGTTGAACTATTGATTTCTGTGGATCTTCTAATATAAATACCAAATCATCAGCAAATGCTTGTAGTTTATACTCTTCTTATTTGAGTCTAAGTCCCTTGATCTCGCCATCTTCTTTAATCATATTATTTAGTGTTTCCAAAGCAAAGATGAATAAAAGCAGGGATAATGGGCATCCTTGTCTTGTACCTGATTTAGAACAGCACTTAATAAAGCAAAACCTTGTGCAAGTGCTATAAATAGCTTCTTCCACAATAAAAGGGGAGAGTATATTCCTGGAGCGGTGCAAGGCTTTAATTTGAAAGTGGCTTCACTCATTCTCTACGGTTCAGCTATTTAGATTAAAGCTACCTTTGATAATATCAACCCACTGCTAGTCCAATTCTTATGTGTTTTCTGCTGCTCAAGATTCGTGAATCAATGAGCTTCTAAGGGTACAAAAGGAAAGGAAAGAGCTTCTGAACTCCTTCTGATTTCCATCCAGAAAGCATTCATACAGTTCACTTAGGCTCTGTGGTTCATCAGCCCCTGGAGGAAGAGAACTGGCCACAACTACATTTTGTCAACTTAGATGCCATGCCAAACCAGTTAGTAAAAACCATGGCTCCAATTCTGGTCTGCCAATCAATCAAACTATGGTAATCCTCATACCAAACTGTAATCAAGCTTCCTTAACTATGATTTGATGGGATGTTTCAACTGATTCTTAGTCTTTTGACCAAGGACATCCATCCTATGAGCTTCGAGGCTATGTTTATGTAATCTTTCTGTAATACACATTTAGGAAAAAGTACGGATGCATGCAGCAGTAGGGAGACACTGAACATAGAACAACTCGAGTAAGTTCCAGACTTGAAGCACAGTGAGCATTTTCTTTCTTGACAAAGCCCATTAGATCTGATTTCAAGGTGGGACTCCTATTTTAACCTGCATAGGGGGGTTTATGGAAGTATTTCTGCTCCTGCTGCATTTGTTTCTAAGGAAGAAGGTGGGCTGCAGTAACAGAAAGGATAACATTAAGTGTGATTCAATCTTCCCAACAAGGTTTAGAACTCCTGCTCAAGCACTGCCTTTGATAGCTGCCTCAATAGCAGAACCAATAGCAGAACTATGCACTGGACATAGTTAAAGAAAGAGCTGTACAAGGATTGCCACTCAAAGTATGTAACGACAACAGTCAGCTCATGCTTTCCTTTGAAAATGGACGAGACCTTCCAGCAGTCTGAAGTTCTAAAGAGGAGTGACTTACTGCAACCTCATCTGCACCATTAGAGAAGAAAAACAAACAAACAGAAGCTGGTGCCACTGCCTCACACCAACATGTCTTCCTCTGCAGCTACAGTTCTCTTTTGAAAGCTTTTGTTCCTCATTTGATCCATCTGCAACCTCTTTTGCCTGACCAGAGAAGGTCAGCGGCTAAATGAGGAACATACTTTCAAAAGATATCTGCAGCTATTGTTCCATTTTTCTCTCAATCTTATTTTATTGTAATTCATTTGAACCCTACTTTTCTCCCCAATGAAGAACCAAAGTAGGTTACAACAGTCTCCCCTCTTCAATTTTATCCTCAGAACAATCCTGTGAGTTGGGTTAGGCTGAGTGTGTGTGAATGGTCCACGGTCACCCAGTGAACTTCCATGAGCAGAGAGGGGATTCTAGTCCAACCATTCCTTCCAATCCCCTCAGTGAAGAACTCCACACGTACAGACACACACACTAAAGTTGAAGGGAAAGTATGTACTAAGCTCAAAAAAACATTTCAGACCCATGTTTTTTGTTAAATAGTAATTTAAAAAGCAACCAAGTTGCTCAACCAGTTAGAAAACTGTCCATGATCTTACCACAAGCCTTACAGGCAGCCATACAGATCTCTTCCGCAACATATTCTCCAGCTGGAAACTGTAGATAATCGCCTTCCACCTTCCCTGGGGAATGATAAAGATAAACTCGAAGCAGCGGTTCTCTCGGTCTGTGAAGGGCTGAATTCCCAAGGATGCCACCATTCTGGTGAACACCAGATGATGTCGGCCCTTCCATCTCTGTTATTGTAAGACAGGCCATGGTATCTTTAGTATATTTTCAAAGCATATTTCTGCAAGAGATAAAAAAAGAATCTAATGATTTAAAGTTACATAAAACATTCTATTAAAAATGTAGTTCTAGAATACTTTTTCCCCTAGCAGCATTCATAAAGCAATAGAGAACCTGTAATTCAACAGCACTGAATTTACATCTCACAAGGGTTTTAAGATCCTGTGTAAGATTTAAAGTGCTGCCCTACAGCCTCAAAAAAAAAACTCAGAGTACATGGCCCTCAATGAGCTCCATGTCAAGTGGTACTTTTTTTCAGAAGAAAAACAACAAACTAAATATGAACAAAACCATAAGTAGGGGTCTTCTGTTCTATCCACACAACCTTACTTATCATCTAACAGCTTTGTTTTAAATTGATAGGATTATGGCAATAATGTACACAGGGAGGAATATCAAGAGATTCAATATGTTGAATTCCAGATGCAGAAAGAGAAGCCCTATTCAAAACACTAGCTAATGCCAGGAATTCAAACTGCTACCTCACTTAGAAATTACTTTCTTTTCCTTTCTTTTTAAGCAATTTTATTGTCAGGATATAACAAGAAGTCCAATATTTAACCACTTCACCATTCGTAGTATATCCCTTTCCTCTATCACCCTCCCTCCCCTGCTTCAGGCTTCCCGCAGCGCTCCCACCCCCACGACGTCCCATTTTCTTATTCTATCCCTCCTCTTAAACAATACTTAAAAGTTCACAGTTTCTTTTGCTAACTTTTTCATATTTTTCAACCTTATAGGTAACATTTTCTATAGTTATCTTCTTTCCAACATATCTATAATCTATTCTTAATAATTATTAAAGCAAAACAAATTATTCTTGACATCCCAGTGTTTCTCTAGATAATCTTTGAAATCCTTCCAATCTGCAAAAAATCCTTCATTGTTATTTAGTTTTCTTGTCATTTTGTCCATTTCTGCCATAAAAAGCAACTTCCTTATCCATTCCCATAACTCGGGTATTCTTTCTTGCTTCCAACATTGAGCATAAGTCATTCTAGCCACTGTAATCAGATACCATATCAATGTTCTCTTTACTACATTCACTTCTTCCATTTTAAGACCCAGAAGTAGTATTTCTGGTTCTTTTTTTAAAAGTACATTTCAAATTTTTCTGCATTTCATTATGGACCTCCGTCCAAAAATTCACAGCTTTGTCACAAGTCCACCACATATGGTAAAAGGAACCTTCTATTTTTTTTACATTTCCAGCATTTGTTAGACATGTTATCACTCATATTAGCAATCTTTTTGGGGGTCATATACCATCTATACATCATTTTATAACAATTCTCTTTTAAATTATTACATGTTGAAATTTTCATTGAATTTTTCCATAAACATTCCCAAGATGACATAGATATCTCTTTGTTCATATTAATTGCCCATTTTATCATTTGTTCTTTTACCGTTTCATCATCTGTATACCATTTTAACAAAATCTTATAGATTTTAGATATCATTTTCCCCCCTTTTCCACCCACACACACTCCATTTCGGCTTAGAAATTACTTTCTATAACAGCTTAATGGTTAAAAAAAAAAAACTCTCATCAGGACCTCCTTCGGCAAACTACTTCAACTCTTGCAGCATGTTCCTTGTGGTAAAGAAGCTGAATGAATTAATTCTGAGAAAAATATTGTGCTCCCCCCCCAATTTATTTTAGAAAATCAGTGACAATACAGAAAAGGGAAAAAGGGGAAAATGGGTTATACAACATAATTACATTTGTCAAAGAGAGTCATGTAGAACATAATGTATAGGACAGAGAATCATTTCCCTTTCATCCCCTTCATTATAATTTTTAAGCTGTTATCTATAAAATACAATAATTCTTATTTTTGTTGGGGTACAATTTTATTCATCATTTAAGTTTTAAGTTTCAAACTTTGTAACTAAACTATTTTGACTACACTAGTTTCATTATTACTACATATTCAACATAAACTACATATACTACATATTCAACATATTCTGGATGACGCTTCTGTCCTGGATCCACTTCAGTCCGGCTTTTGCCCTGGTCATGGGACGGAGACGGTGCTGGTCGCCCTGACTGACGACCTCCGGAGGCATCTGGATCGAGGTGGTGTGGCGGCACTGGTGTTGTTAGATCTGTCGGCCGCGTTTGACACGGTCGACCACCAGTTGTTGACCCACCGCCTCGCCGATGTGGGGATACAGGGGCTTGCCCTTCAATGGCTTGCCTCTTTTCTCCAAGATCGGGGACAGAGAGTGGTAATAGGGGAACAGCGGTCCCAGAGGCACCCACTTGAGTGTGGGGTGCCGCAGGGGGCAGTGCTTTCCCCGATGCTTTTTAACATCTATATGCGCCCTCTCGCCCAGATTGCCAGGAGGTATGGGCTGGGTTGTCATCAGTATGCAGATGACACCCAGCTCTATCTGATGTTGGGCGGCCGGTCAGCATTTGTTAGACATGTTATCACTCATATTAGCAATCTTTTTGGGGGTCATATACCATCTATACATCATTTTACAACAATTCTCTTTTAAATTATTACATGTTGAAATTTTCATTGAATTTTTCCATAAACATTCCCAAGATGACATAGATATCTCTTTGTTCATATTAATTGCCCATTTTATCATTTGTTCTTTTACCGTTTCATCTTCTGTATACCATTTTAACAAAAGCTTATAGATTTTAGATATCATTTTTTCCCCTTTTTCCACCCACACACACTCCATTTCGGCTATTTTGACTACACTAGTTTCATTATTACTACATATTCAACATAAAATATTGTTGCCGCTTTTACATATGCATTCGAACCTTTAATAGATAAGTAGTATATCACAGTGCAAAAGAAAGTCTACTATATATCTCATATAGAGAACCCATTTATATTTGGGATACTACATTTGGAATAGATTTTAATTCCATTTCTTTTTCATTACAATACATTTATATATTATATTTTCTCACTTTAAATTTATCTTCTGTTAGCATAATACACACTCCACCTTTCCTCACATTTTGTAATAGACCTGGTTTCTCAAATTACTGCATATTCAGCAAGTTTATTTTCCCATTCTTCTAAATGTGGACAAATGTCTAGCTTCCATTTTGCTGCGTAAACAGTTCTAGTCACTGTTACCATGTACTTGAATAGCTCTTCTAAAAATGTTGGTAATTTGTTAGGCAGAACACCAATAGCATGCTCTTGGTTTCCACTAGGAATTTAAAGTTTAATATATTCTGCATTTTTTGGTGTATTTCTTTCCAATATCTTTCTGCTTTTTAAAACCGTGCTGCAGAAGAAGCCATCCCAGCCAGACCTATCTGCAGCGTGCAGATCCTGGGGCCAACTTCTCCTACAAGGCAGTTTAAACCGCACCGTGGGAGAAGCCAAGCTAGCCCCAGGACCAGGCTAGCTTTTTTTAAACTGGAATTTATCTTCTCAGGTCTTTTGGATCAAAAATAAATAAATAAATAGGGATTAAAAAAAATAATAATCCCAGATATGAATACCATACCAGTACTGGGATCCAGGATTTTTCAGAAATACTGGTTTTTTTCAGGTCCACAGACCCAAACTGAAAAATACCGATTAAAAAAAATTGCACACTGAACACTTCAAGCAAACATCAAAGATTTTTTTAAAATTGAAAAGACAGGAAAGAATAAAAGTAAAGTTGTCAAGGTAAAGGTAGGTTATATATTCCACAGAGTATAATTAATATAAAAAAGGAGCTTCACTTAGTATTTTCGCTCTATTATTGAAGCTGAGATTTTCTTGGAAAGCTGTTCTGCCAAAATAAAGTTCTTTAAAACTGGTTACATAAAACTTTTGCTGAACAACTGTAATTAAAGATCAAAGTTTATCAGAAGCCTTGCTCCAAAAGCCATACATTTTGAAGAGGGTCCCTCTTATGGCTATATAGTGGAAGCTGACTTCAAACACTGCTGGAAGACTGCCAGTCTTTTCAATTATGATCGCAGTTCTGGGAATCTAAAAATATCCTTATGATCGCAGTTCTGGGAGTCCAATAATATCCAAAATATTACATTTCCAGCAGTTCAAAAGATTGCAAAGATTACTGAATCCAGATTGGTTTAGAAGAAAAAAAGAAATAAAAAGAAAAAGATTGGTTGGGGCTGGCTGACCTTATCAGCAAAAAGCCTTCTTTATCTCAACTGCTCTTGATATTTCCAGAACCCACGTGGAAACCATACTTATCAAGGCCCGCCCCCAAGGTTCACCTGTCACTTGGATCTCCCCCATGGGGGAGAGTGATAGAGAAGTAAATTCCCTCCTTTCCTGGTGTTTGCCCCACAGTGAGAAAGGACAGGAGCCTTTGAAAGTGCTCCTTATCAGGTTGCCATGTTCCCTGGAAGCAGAAAAATACTGTTCTTAACTGAAAGTCTGGGAGTTTTTAAAAGAAAAATTAACACAGCTGTTTAATCTGGGAACTCTCATTCTTCTTTCAAAGAACAAGCATATTAATAAGTTGCCTGGTTCAGAAGTTTCATTTTTGCATTAAAAAAAATGCAAATAGCTTTAGATCCTCTTTCCATTTACTTCCTCAAAATAAAACTACTGCAGAACTATTACCAAACTGCTAAAATATTATTCAGAAATCGTCTTTACCGTAATGCTAATATTTTTTCCTCATGGCTAGAAAAATCTCCAACGTCTGGTTCGCCAAAACTCTTTTAAATGTCATAAACTTGGCATCTAGGAATTTATTTTCCTTTTCCATGGAGCACAGGCTGCATTTGGACGTACACAAACCCTGATTAGTCTGTCCTTGTTATTCTGCTGTTTGCCTCCTTTCCCAGCTTCAAGCTGGGATAACATCCCATGGTCTCCCGCATTGCCAGGCTGCTGGGAAAGTCTCACCAAGTATGCCACACACTTTCTATTGGTCAGCTCCAGAATAAGGGGAGGGAGAATCCTAAAGCAAGCCCAGACTCCTCAGTCTTGCCCTTGGCTTAGGGTATCTCT